TACAAACCTGAAAAACGCCATTGAAAAAAGTCTTAGAAAATGGTAGGTTCAACATTTGGCGACAAGAACACAGAAGGTTGGGTCAAGGAACAAATATGTGTTACAGACTGCTTTGTAGATGATTATGAACGGTTGGGGTAACGTCAAAGGACACAAAGAGAGCAGACTGGGTGTAGGCGCAAACATGTATTGTCAGCTGAGTCGTTGAATGCGAAACGGTAGGTTAACGTTGTGGGACACAAAAAGTTCCGATTGGTTCAATGGACAGACGTGCGTTATTGACAACTCAGGCATAAAATAAGAAACAGTAAGTGTAATGTTAAGCGACACAAAAAAGCAGAGTGGTTCAAAGGACAAACGTGTCGTAATAACAGATTAGTCGTGAAACAGCAAAAGGTTTGTATGATGTTAAGGGGCAGGAAGAGAAAAAACTGGGTGAAGGAACAAACACGCGTTATTGACAGCTTGCTCGTGTAACGGAAAACGAAAGGCGTAACGTTAAGAGACACGACGAGAGCAGATTCGGTTAACGGACAAATTGCGGTAAGAACAACTTAGTCATGGAATTGGGAAAGGTGTGTGTAACATTAACGGACACGAAGAGAACAGATTGCATCAAAAGACAAACGTGTATTACTGTTGGCTTATATTCGAGGCAATGGGAAACACTTGGTGTAACACTAACGAGCACTAGGGTAAAAAAGGATCGCTGCACTAATGTGCGTCAAGGACAACTTAGTCATAGAAAGGAAAAGGGTAGGCCTAACCTTAAGTGACACGATAAGAGCAGAGTGGTTTGAGGAACAAACATGTGTTAAGGACAGCTTAGTCATGGAATGGGGAACGGTAGGTTAAACGTTGAGAGATACGCCCCGCCACGGAGGTCTAGTGGCTAAAGTATTCGGCTACTGACCCGCAGGTCGCGGGATAGAATCCCGGCCGCAGCGGATGCATTTCCGAAGAAGGCGGAAATGTAGGCCCGTATGCTCAGATTTGGGTGCACGTTAAAGACCCCCAGGCGGTCAAAATTTCCGGAGCCTCCACTACGGCGTCTTTCATAATCATATGGTGGTTTTGGGATGTTAAACCCCAAATATTTATCAATATCAATGTTAAGAGATACGGAAATAGCAGATTGAGTCAAGAGACAACCATGTGTTACAGACAGCTTATTCGAGGAATGAAAAACGGTTGGTGTAATACTAAGAGGTACAAGGTAAAAGAATGAATCAAGGGCAAACGTGCGTCAAGAACAGCACAGTCATGGACTAGGAAAAGGTAGGTGCAAGGGTAAAGGATACGTATAAACCGCAGTGAGGCAAAGAAACAACGCGTTACAGAGTTTCGTTGTGCAATAGGCCACAGTAAGTTTGATCTTAGAGACACGAGGAGAGCAGACTCGGTCGAGAGATTAAAGTGTGTTAAGGACACTTAGTCATCAAATCGGAAACGGTAGAAGTAACGCTAACACGATGAATATTGAATGGGTGAAGTGACAAACGTGCGCTAAAAACAACTCAGTCGTGGAATGGGAAGCCATAGATGTAACGTTAAAGGTCACGAAGAGAGCAGACTGGTTCGAGGAACGTTAAACTTACTGTTGCCTATTTCACAATGAAACTGTCTGTAACACGTTTTTGCTTTGCCTCTCTCTGCTTTATACGCCTCCTTTACCATCATTGCACCTACTTTTTTCTAGTTCATAACTAGAGTTGTTCTTAACTGCATGTTTGTTCCTTGATCCATTATTTTCCCTCGTAACCCTTAGTATTACATTTACCGTTTTTCATTCCTCGAAGCAGCTGTCTGTGAAAAACGTTTGTCTCTTGACCGAATATGCTATCTACGTATCTCTTTACGTTAACCTATCGTTTCCCATTCCACTGACTGAGCTGCCTTCAACACATGTTTGTCCCTCAAACCACTCTGCTCTAATCGCGTCCCTAAATGTTACACTTACCGTTTGTCTTTCTATGACTAGGTTGTCCTTCACGCACGTTAGTAGTTTTGACCCTATTTTCCCCTCGTGCTAGTTATTGTTACACCAACCGTTTCTCATTGCTCGACTAAGCTGACTGTAATACACGTTTGTCTTTTAATGCAATCTGCTCTCTTCGTGTCTGTTAAAGGTACACCTACTGTTTCCCATTCTATGACTAAGTTGTTCTTAGCACATATTGTCCGTTAACCTCATTTGCTCTCCTCGTGTCTTTTAACGTTACGCCTACCGTATTCTGCTCCACGAGCAAGCTGTCAGCAGCGCGCGTTTGTTTCTTGAACCAGTTTTTTCTCTTTCCTGTCTCTTAACAGTAAACAAGCCGTTTGCTACTTCACGACTAATAAGCTATTACCACACGTTTGTCCCTTGACTCACTCTGCTTTTTCCGTGTCCCCTAATGTTAACCCGCCGTGGTGGTCTAGTGGCTAAGGTACTCAGCTGCTGACCCGCTGGTCGTGGGTTAATCCCGCCGTGGTGGCCTAGTGGATAAGGTACTCGGCTGCTGACCCGCAGGTCGCGGGATCAAATACAGCCGCTACGGCTGGCTGCATATTCGATGGAGGCGGAAATATTGTAGCTCCGTGAGCTCAGATTTAGCGCACGTTAAAGAACCCCAGGTGCTTGAAATTTCCGGAGCCCTTCACTACGGCGTCTCTCATACTCACATGGTGGTTTTGGGACGTTGAACCCCACATATCAATCAATCATCGTTACACTTACTGTTTTCTATTCCATGCCTAAGTTGTCTATAAGGCACGCCTGTCTATTGAACCAATCGGAGCTCTTCATGTCCCACAACGTTAACCTACCTTAGAAGTGTGGCAGCTTGGTCTAGTTGGTTTGACATGACGATAGTTATAGCGCGAGAACAGAACGACGATACAGAGACAAGAAGGACACGAAGGACGCGAACACTAACTTCCAACTGAGTTTATTGTGCAGAGCGCGAAAATACATAAAGCATACAGTAAACCATGTGACAAAAACCATGCAGCACAAAGAGCAATACATAAGAAAGGAAAAAAAACAAAAGCACAAATAAGCAAAGAAAGTCTAGAAGGAAACGAAAACAAAATAAATGTAATATACCTACTTGCGCGCGCCGAAACCGTCGAAAAACCTTAGTTCCTTCTCGGACAGAGACACGGAGGGCTTGCCTAATGCATGACACCTGTTCGCGTGCCATCTGCACGGCCTCGACGATGACTCGGTTGCGCTCAACCCTGTGCACCTACAGCGTCACTGTGTCCTTGAAAAGGGGCACACAGTTGCACTCAGTGCAGTTCTGAGCAAGAAAACCATCTTTCCTGTTTCTAACATTGTTAGCGTGTTCTCTCAGTTGATCGTTCAGGCACCTTCTGGTCGTTCCGACATAACAAGCGCCGCATGAAAGGGCAGTCCTAAAGAAAACTTCCCTGGAGCATGCCGTATACCTGTTTCTGTGCTGAAGTGTACATCCCGTTGATGACTGCGTTTTCAGGGGGTTTGTAGATTAGGTGAGGATAATTAACGAAAACAGTGCAGAGAACGGGACACGAACTTCAACTTGTTTTTCGATTTTCTCTAGCCTGTGTGATATGAGGTGTTTGCAGTGAAATCATGGCTATCCCTTCATGATTTGTATCCGTGCTGCTCAGATCCTTTCGCTGTCCTCTGCCTCTGCCCTCTTAGTCCGCAGGATAGTCTCTGCAATAGAAGCGATAAACGCCTCAGGAAAATCTGAAACCTTAAGCCAGGAAACTTGAGCAGTGAAGTTTGCAGAGATGTTGTGAATGCAAGACATATTTAAGGCATTCTCAAGACAGGTTCGTGCGATGCCTTGCTCAACAAACTTGTTCTGAGCGGAAGAAATTGGGAGTGAAGGTTTCTGCGCACGTGGTTCATGACATCAACAAATGTGCCGTGAACTAAAAAAACAGTCTTAAATCCAAAGAGCAGAACTTGTCATCCCCAGGCATTTAATGTGTCAACACAAGGGCTTTAGACAATCTTCAAACACAAATATCGTTTGAGCTGCAATCGAAGTGGAACATGGAAGTGTGACATGTTAGAAGAACCAAAAAAATCATCCACTTATCTGAATAATTTCATGGCATGCGTGCCCTCCAACATTTTGTGAAGTTTATTGCCCATTTCCGCCAATAGTAGGTCACTGAGTAGAGATGCTATGCATGACTCGATTTAAACATCTTTTTTCTGCAGATAAAGGCGCTCATTCCAATGAGAGAATGTAGAGCTGAGGTACAGCAAAACATGGTCAAGAAAAATCTCGAGTCATACCAGTTTTTATTTGGAAGTTCAATTTCCCAAAGACTATATGGTATCGCTTACTACATTTAAATACCTTATTGTGAGGCAGCGAGTATTATAGGTCATTTATGTCGATTGAAAACCAAAACATTCTATTCAATTGACTGTTTGAAAAACACTATCAGCGCCTGCGAGTTTTTGATCAGAAAGGGGTCATAAATCTTAAGACACTTAAGATGGGTCTGTATAAACAAGCCGAGTTGCTTTTGCCACGTTCCGCTTTCTCTCAAAGACTTGGAAGGGCAAGTTGACTTTATGTGTTTTGGCATAAAAAACAAGCTGAGCACAATTCTGGTCGCTTTTGCTAATTTGTCGTGCTAACTGTTTCAACTTTAGTGTACGACATATTTTCTTGGCTTGCGTTTTTATTCTATCTTGACTAAGGTCAAAACAACATTTGAAACAGAGCTAACAGCTGTGACCGCCTTTTATAGGTACAAGCAAATAGCAAAAACACCAAACGACCCTCCTTATCTTACGGCACGACACAAAGTTCATTGTCTCTGAAAATCTTGGCCGTCTTCCGCAACGGAAGGCTGGTGCTGGTAGGCTTACCCCGTAGGAGCACGTCGACGCCCTCTGAGATGCATCTGTCCGAATTCTCTGGTGAGGCGCGGCCAGCAACAGAGCGCACAAATTAAAGAAGCTCGGGTGCGGACCTCTCTCGGTCGACGTCGAATTTCGGACCTAGGGCGAGGGTGCTGTGAACGTAGTCTGGGAGGACGACATCACTGCAGGAGTGGACCACACCGAATCGCTGGGACTGGGTTGGGAGCTGCGCACGAAGGATAGTTAGGTCACGTGACCAAAAGCTGTTTGCAGTGTGTTCGATTTGGTCGCAGTACTCTCGCCATCTTCTTTCTTCACTCCTGGTGTAAGATCTGTTTGTTGCAGCTGGACATACAGGGCGTCGTGGTACTTGTGCTCTTGTCGGGGCCGTTCAGACGGAAGAATTTCGCACAGCCGTTTACCATGGCTGATAGAGGCTTGGTAACCTCAAAACAAGGCTTGAACATCTAGAGGCAGGTGCTTGGTGCAAATGCAGAAGGTAAAGGTGCGTGCACGGCAAATGGAGACTGCGATGAGGGTTATGAGAAGTGATTGATGAAGAGAAACACACAAAAAAGAGCCCGTATAAATATAAATTAACTTAGAAGTGTAGCAGCTTGGGCTAGTTGGTATAACATGACGATAGTTGATAGCGCGAGAGCAGAACGACGAAGCAGAGACAAGAAAGTCACGAAGGACACGAGCGCTAACTTCCAACTGAGTTTACTGCACAGAGCGTGAAAATATATATAGGATACAGTAAACCATGTGAAAAAACCATGTGGCACAAAGAGGAATACATTAGTGAGAAAAAACAAAGACACAGAAAAAGGCAAAGAAAGGTCTAAACAGAAACAACCTTTTAGACTTTTCTTTGCCTTGTTCTGTGGTTTTGTTTTTTTCTCTTACTCATGTATTGCTCTTTGTGCCATATGGTTTTTGTCACGTGGTTTACTCTATCCCCTATATATTTTCGCGCTTTTGCGCAGTAAACTGAGTTTGAAGTTGGCGCTCGTGTCCTTTGTGTCCTCCTAGTCTCTGTGTCGTCGTTCTGTTCACTCGTCATACCTGTCGTTAACCCACTGTTTCAAATTCCACGACTAAGCACATGTTTGTCCCTCGACCCAGTCTGCTCTCTTTGTGTCCCTTAACGTTACACCAACCGTTCACATTCCTCTACTAAGCTGTATCTAACACATGTTTGTTCCTTCACCAAATATTCAGTGTTCGTGTCTTTTAACGTTAAACCCACTGTTTTTATTTCATGACTAAGCTGTCCTTAACACACGTTTGTCTGTAAAACCAATCGGTACTCCTCTTTTCCCACAAAGTTTCACCTACCCCTTCCCATTCCACGACTAAGCTGTCTTTACCACATGTTTGTACCTCGACCCAATATGCTCTTTTTGTGTCTCTTAACCTTACGCTTACGTTTTCCCACTCCACGACTTAGTTGCCTTTCAGATACGCTTGTCGCTCGATCCGCTCTGTTCACTTCAAGGCCCTGAACATTACGCCTGTAGTTTTCCATTTTGTAACTAAGTTGTCTATAACACACGTTTTTCCTTTGACTCCATCTGTTCTCTTCGTGTCCCTTAATGTTACACCAATACTTTCACAACTAAGCTGCCTTTACACACAATTTTTCCTTGATCCAATCTGCTGCTTTCATGTCCCTTAACTTTACAATTCTCGTTTCCCGTTCTGACACTAAGCTATATTTACCACACGTTTTCTATTGACCCTTTCTTTTCTCTTTGTGTTTTTTATCTTCCGCGACTAAGATGTTTTTAGCTTGTACTTTGACCTATTCTGTTCTTTTAGTGTCTCTTAAAGTTACACGAACCGTTTCACGTTCTACGACTAAACGTTCTTTAACACCCTTTGTCTCTCGACCCACCCTGCTCTCTTCGTGGTTCTTAACGTTACCCCTACCGTTTTCTATTCTATGACTGAGCTGCCTTCAACGCGCGTTTGTCTATTGACCAGTAGCGAGAGAAGAAAACAGGACGGTCGACAACGTGGCCGTGTCGTTCTCTCACCACTTTATTTTCGAAGGCCATTGCTGAAGCGGAGTGGCGGCAGCTGCAGCGTCTAAACCGCCAGGCGTGTGAGCATGATCTACCAAGCTGGCGCCTCGAGCTGTGGCTTGAGCAGCACGAGAGGCGCAGCGCGGTGGCTAGAAAATGTCGATGACGATGATCATGCGCTACAGGGCTCCCCCCCGCCCTAGCGCTTTGCGTGATTTTAAGTGTATATAACAAAGAAAGAGAAAGAGACTATATACATGAACAACAACCCGCAAGGTGTCAGTTAGGAAAGTCTAGGTTATCAACGTGTAGCGACCATCGGGAAACAGTCGGTCTCTGTTGGACGACACTGGGAGAAACGCAGTGGACGCAGATGATAGAGCCGGGTCGCTGCGGACATAGACACGTGCGTCCCACGACGACTGGTTGGGAGAATTTAAGAGTGAATCCGGCGGTTCGAGCAGACGCGGCTGAAAGAGGTGCCCCCATCTAGTGCCGTGCAAATGCGCTGAAGAACCCGCGTCGGTAATGTGGGCGTAGTGGCCTGATAGATCAAAGCAAAGCCATGACGACCGAGGAAGGATATGAAATGGTCGCGGCGGAGTTTTCGACAGTGCACCTGGTGCCGACAAGGCTGTTTACAAAGAGCAGTTGGCTTGCTGTTTGCTGCGGATGCAACCATCGACGAAACACCGACCTAAGCGTTACAGTGCGGTTGCCATGCCGGTGTGGTTGGCCGAGTCGATGGACGTGGAAACGTCGTGATCGAAAAGCACACAAAGGTCACGGCAGGCAAGCAGGTTCGCGGCGACTAATCGGCCGTTGCGCCACGGAGAGGTAGTGAACGCCTGGGCCATGGCGAAGGGCTTGTCTGAGTTCAAGGTGCATTGTTGCGAGGTGGTGTCCCCTTCAAGGACTCCGTAGGGTGGTCATGAGACTCAGTAGGCGTGGCTCTAACGGAAGGTTGGTTGGCGTACTCGCGCTCATCGCTGGAGCCTGGTGGTTGTCGACCATTGTGGGTGGTACACTATGTGCGGTCTGTTGTACCATAGGCAGACCAGGCACGTCGTCCTCAGGAGCGGCTGTGATAGTAGCAGCGTCTCGGAACTTTGGCCACGCTTGATGGTTGATGGCTTTAGCTTCGGCTGCACGGAACTGCGAGGACGATGCTGGTCGCTGCCGGCAGGACACGCAGAGCGTTGGTGTTGGTAGAGAGTTGCCCTCAGACATCAGAGAGGGTGAAGATTCTATGACCTAGAGGTGAACAGTTAGTGCAAGGATCTCTGTGCCAGACTTGACGCGTGCGGCAAAATAGCTGCCGTGAAGTCGGGTGGAGCCACGGTGTCGTGTGCCGTCGAAAATGCGGAAGATGTGCGGGTGGCAGGCACGTGTGACGTAGCTGTGTACGCGGGCTCCGAGGGAATGCACTTCTTGAAAGGGAGGTCAGTCGCAGTGGGGGTGTCTTCTACCTCGTGGTCGTGGTGAGGTGCAGGATTGGATGTTCCTGCAATCAGATCAGAGGTAGAAGTAGTCGAAGCCGTGGAAGTGAGGTCTTTTTCAAGGTAGGGCTACGGGCCATCTGGCACTGCTCGCTGGGGTTGAGGGGAAACCTGGAACTCGCGGCTCCTCGGAAGCGGGCGGTAGGTTTCGCCGTAGCAGGTGAGCACCACACCGCAGAGGTCATCAAAGGGTCATGGACTGGAGCACGACTCGGTGGCTAGATGACTCAGCTCAACAGGGAGGGCGTCCAGCAGGACAGTGTGCGTCATCGGCTGTGCCTTCATGCTATTGAACACGAGAATGGTATCGAGCCGCATAAACCACGCTCGGGGATAGATCGGGTGAAACGACGAAACTGGAGGGCAGAGTTGCGAAAGCATGGGAGTGGGCCGCTCGGCTAAGGGCGTGTTCTTCGGGTCACCAATGTAGCGTGAAAGGAAGACGGAACGACGGAACACGTGGTCGTGTCGTTCTCACGCCATTTTATTATCAAGGGCTACTGCCGAAGCAGTGCGGCGGAGACTGCAACGTCCAAACCACCAGGCGCAAGAGCACAATCTACCTAGCTCGCGCCTCGAGCAGTGGCATGAGCTGCACGAGAGACGCAGCGCGGTGGCTAGAAAAATGACGATGATGATGAATGGCGATGATGATGATAAAAGCACTACAGCCTATTCTTTTCTCTTCGTGCCCCTTATAGTTACACCAACCACTTGCCATCTCTTGACTAAGCTGTGTATACCATCCCTTCTTTTTTAATTAAGTCTGCTCCCTTCATGTCTCTTAACGTTCCACCTACGGTATCCAATCTTGTGACTACGTTTTGCCAAGCACACGTTTTTTTCCCTTAACCAATTAGGCTCTACGTGCCTCTTAACATTCAACCTACAATTTTTCATTACATGACTAAGCTGTCTTTACAAAACGCTTGTCCCTTTACCCAATCTGCTCTCTTCGTGTCATATAAAGTTACACATATCGTTTCCCATTCCACGATTAAGGTGTCTGTAACACACACTTATAATTCAATCCTCTCCGCTTGCACTCTTCATGTCTCCTAATGGTACATTAACGGTTTTTCACGTTATGACTGATTTTTCTTTTAATTTTTCAATTCTGCTCTCTACATGTTCCTTAAGAATTACACCTACTGTTTCGCATTACATGACTAAGCTGTCTTTAAAACATGTTTTTCTCTTCACCCAATCTGCTGTCTACGTGTTCATGACTAAGCTGTTCTCAACACATCGTTGTCTTTCAATCCAGTCTGCTCTCTTCGGGTCCCTAAACCATAAACCTACCATTTCCTATTTCACAACCAAAATTTATGTAACACGCTTTTTTTCCTTGACTCAGCTTTATACGTGTTCCTTAAATTTAGACCTACCGTTGCCCATTCCTCGACTAAGCTGTCTATAACACGCGTTTTTCTCTTGACTCAAACTGCCATTTTCGTGTCCTTAAACGTTACAATTACCGTTTCCCACTCTACGACTAAGCTGCCTTAAACGCACGTTTTGCCACGACACACTCTGCTCTATTCATGACCCTTAATGTTACACCTACCAATTACGTTCAGCGAAACACGTTTTTCCCTCGACCCGCTCTGCTCTCTTCGTGCCTCTTAATACTATACCTACCGTTTACCATTCCATGACCAGGTTGTCTTTAACACATGCTTGTCCTTTCACAAAATCTGCTCTCTTCAAGTCGTTTA